TTTGTTATTTTAATACAAATTAATATTTTAGGAGTTTTAATCAGCTGACAGAGTATCATCAAACCGGAGAAATACCTTGAAATTCACAGAATCAGGAAAAAGATCTCCAGGGGCAGAAGATACTAAAGATCATAGTGTTAATTATTTCGTGAAGAAATATCCCGAAATTCTCATGTTTCAACCCAGAAAAGAAAATATACACAAAACAAATTGGATGTAAATAAGGAATGGAGGAATCACAGGGAACTTATCTTTTTCGTTTAAGAAGGATCACACACAGATAAGCAGGAGCCCGTCTCTAAGTTGAACAAGAGGAGAGTTTCCAAATCTATCTCTCAACAAGAGTACAGAACTAGCCAGCCCGGAAAAAATTCAAAAACAGAATTCATAAAGATGTGTCAAACTTTACAACGGTTACATCAAGTGGATTTGAAGCTTTTCATTCGATTCATCAAGGATATTGTATGAAATGCTGTAAAAACCGCTCATTCAGGGTCTAACCGCAAAGTGGATATTGAGATTAAGTATTCAAGATTTCCTCTCAAATATTTAACAGTTCATCCTATTAAATTCTTTTGAAGGAGAAGATACGTACAGCGCGTCCCCCAAAGCATGACAGCTGGTAGACAGTTCTGAATGTCGTCCTCCATATACTGATTCAGATCGTGAAACCTCATTCAATTTATTTCGTTTAAAGAGTCCTTTGCCGAGATATTTCTTGTTTTAAAACCAATTTACAAATCCAGTTTAAACATCTAAATTTANAAGTCCCCTAAAAGACCAAAAATCAAAAAGTTTAAATCTTCAACTAACAGTGTATACACAACGTACAACAGGATATCTTAAAAAGATGGCATCCGCCGCTCCTTGTACTCTGTTAATTTTAGACAAAAACTAAAGATAAAAATTAAGCTTAACAAGTCCCCTAAAAGACCAAAAATCAAAAAGTTTAAATCTTCAACTAACAGTGTATACACAACGTACAACAGGATATCTTAAAAAGATGGCATCCGCCGCTCCTTGTACTCTGTTAATTTTAGACAAAAACTAAAGATAAAAATTAAGCTTAACAAGTCCCCTAAAAGACCAAAAATCAAAAAGTTTAAATCTTCAACTAACAGTGTATACACAACGTACAACAGGATATCTTAAAAAGATGGCATCCGCCGCTCCTTGTACTCTGTTAATTTTAGACAAAAACTAAAGATAAAAATTAAGCTTAACAAGTCCCCTAAAAGACCAAAAATCAAAAAGTTTAAATCTTCAACTAACAGTGTATACACAACGTACAACAGGATATCTTAAAAAGATGGCATCCGCCGCTCCTTGTACTCTGTTAATTTTAGACAAAAACTAAAGATAAAAATTAAGCTTAACAAGTCCCCTAAAAGACCAAAAATCAAAAAGTTTAAATCTTCAACTAACAGTGTATACACAACGTACAACAGGATATCTTAAAAAGATGGCATCCGCCGCTCCTTGTACTCTGTTAATTTTAGACAAAAACTAAAGATAAAAATTAAGCTTAACAAGTCCCCTAAAAGACCAAAAATCAAAAAGTTTAAATCTTCAACTAACAGTGTATACACAACGTACAACAGGATATCTTAAAAAGATGGCATCCGCCGCTCCTTGTACTCTGTTAATTTTAGACAAAAACTAAAGATAAAAATTAAGCTTAACAAGTCCCCTAAAAGACCAAAAATCAAAAAGTTTAAATCTTCAACTAACAGTGTATACACAACGTACAACAGGATATCTTAAAAAGATGGCATCCGCCGCTCCTTGTACTCTGTTAATTTTAGACAAAAACTAAAGATAAAAATTAAGCTTAACAAGTCCCCTAAAAGACCAAAAATCAAAAAGTTTAAATCTTCAACTAACAGTGTATACACAACGTACAACAGGATATCTTAAAAAGATGGCATCCGCCGCTCCTTGTACTCTGTTAATTTTAGACAAAAACTAAAGATAAAAATTAAGCTTAACAAGTCCCCTAAAAGACCAAAAATCAAAAAGTTTAAATCTTCAACTAACAGTGTATACACAACGTACAACAGGATATCTTATAAAGATGGCATCCGCCGCTCCTTGTACTCTGTTAATTTTAGACAAAAACTAAATTGCAAAAACCTCAAAAAACCCAAATGCTTAAAAAATTGGAAAAATATTAAGATCACCTTAATAAAATAGTGATTTTACCAAAGAAATGTACAAAAAGTGTTAATCAGAACAAAAAAGAATTAAAAATAAAAAAATGGTTTAATTAATTCAAATTGTTCTTTATCATAAAAAAGGTTCGAAAGTGGACCAACGCTCGCCAGATTTGAGTAACTTAAAAAACGTACTTCAATAAAAGACTAAAAAAAACCTCTTTTTCATTCTCATTAACACTTCTATGAAAAAAGATGACTTACTTGAAAGAGTAGTTTGAGTAATGGACGTTTATTCACTGATCATGGTAACTTTTTAACAGAGAGTCTTTTACTAGTTTACAAAGTATTTATATGATTGCAACCAGACAGCGGAGGGTATTGCGAATAGTATTTTGGCAACAATATTTTGCGTAAGGCTGGGTAGTTTGTGTATACAGTAGATGCGTCATATTAAAGGTTGGATTTGAAAGATAGAGGAATTGTGAAAATATTGACACATCCTTCCTGAATCTTCAACTTTAAATCGATGGTGTGGTTCAACTTTGATCCGCAGTAACATGGATCAAATTAATTAAATTCGGTCCTTGGAATTATTATCAAATTTGTTTGGATATTATAGCTTGCAGGGAAGCCAGCTGTGCTTAAAGATCTAAAAAATCTGTCTAGGGTTTGAATCAAATTTTTAGGAATCGTTCAAGACTTCAGAAAGTTTTTACGGTGCATATTGGATCAGCAAGAGAGCAAATTCAATCTTTAAAATCCTCATAGATTGTTCATTTTGAAGGAATGATTTTTAGAATCGGTTTTTAAAATGTAGTAAAAAAATCTACAGTAAACTAATTACTTGTTTAGGAATAGGTTTAGAAAATAAAAATTAACTATTATCACCGAAAAAAGTAAGCTATTTCAGTTGGTTTCTGTAGTGTCTCATTCTTCGCAAACATTTTCTGACATTTTTATTAAACAGACGACATTTGAAGAATTTGAAGAAATCAGCGAACACATTCACAAAGAATAAGAAACTCAATTTAATGATGAAAAAGAAACAATTGATTTTTACATTGACGTATTGAAATTTTTATCGTATTTTTACAAATCGATTTTCAGAAACTAATCACCCAAAGGGATGATTTTGAACGTCAACTTTTATAACACCCTGTAATTCAACCATGGCAGAACAAATGTAATTAAATTTCTTTATCAGGCAAAAATTTAATTGAGATTTGGAAAAAATTTTGGTTTTTCATTTAATATTTAAATTTTTCTTTATTTTTTTTCATTTGTGTTGTGGAAATATTTTGGAATGTCTTTGTTAAATAAGAAAGAACTTTTTTCGCTTTTGCTACTCAGGAGGTATATCTCCAGATAGGTTGTATTTTCTATCATAAATTAGGATGCAGATTTAAATTTCAGACCTGCTGATGTGGGGGGGGGCTTGTCCTGTGACTATAAATTTTAAGAGTCTAGTTTAAGGTTCCTTTCTTATAGGAAACTTGATTGATTTTGAATTTTCTAGGTTTTTGAATTTTCTAGGTCTGAATATAAAATTAAGCCCCTGGATCTACAAGATTACAAGATTAGAAAAAACAAACTCAGGTAAAAATCATCTATATAGTATACCAGCTGAAGTGCCCGGCGTTGCCCTTGGAATTTTTGACAACAATTAAATTTTGAAGAAAAATGATTTTTTTATTTTTAAAAACAATTTGATTTTTTTTAATTTGATTTTTTTTAAATTAGAATTTTTTGTCTTTGTTACCCCTTGGGTACTCATGGAGAAAAAATACAGCCCATTCGAACCAGCTGTTTAGCCAGCAGCCAACTTACATATATATGATCAAAGATGTTTATTATAAAGATATATGTTTGTCGACATAAACTTGACTGACCCTTTATTTAAAAGATTAATGCTACACATACAGGGTGTCATGTTTCGTGGGACACCCTGTACTTGATTTTAGAATTTAGCTTTGTCTGAGCAAAAGCTATGCAGATATCCTTGTTTTATTTTAAAAAATTAACCAGAATTTAACGAAATTTTTTCTGAATTAAATTATGCCCTACAAAATTCCAAAACTCTTAATTTTCTCTTGCTAAATGGGAACGTTGCATGATGCATCCTGCAGGTGTAGATTTTACCCTTGATTCATTGTAAAAGGTTAAAAAGCAAAAAACTGAAACACAGACAAGCTTACAAACACAGTGTGCTACTTATAGAATCCAGCAATTTTCAAATGGCACCAAAAAATGGTGTAATCAGCAACAAGGAATGAAAGAGACCCACAAAGCAGATTTTATAAAAAGAAACATCAAGACGGCTGCAGACATTTGGCCAGAGGTTAGGAAATAAAATCAGAATTTACAAGAATACTTTATTATGATGTATGCCCTCTATTTTATAAAACAAATTAAATAAATTGTTAAAATTGTTTCAGGGAAGAGGAGCTAAAAGAGGCCAAACAAGAAGTGCTGAAAACATAAAGGAGAAAATATGAACAAGAGAAGAGCCGTCGTTTTTTACCTGTATAAGGGAACAGGTTTTTTAGGTTGGCCTTTTCTCAAAAATAAACGAAAAATGGATCAAACTCTTTTTTATACCTAGATTTTTTGTTGAAGCTTTCTTGGCAAGTAAATAGATTTACTCTGATTTTATATTAAATCCTCGTTTTTTTTCTTTTTTATTATGAGAAGTTAAAATTGGAGATTATTAGGTGAAAAAACATGTTTTTGATCAAGTGACACAACTTTTAGATTTTAGACGGAAAATTTTTAATTTAAAATTTTTTTTTTCTCGAAATAGCTTTATTCTATTGAATAGGGTTAGGGTTTAATACTTAAAACAAGGTTAAATATTGTCTTGGTTTGAACTTAGAGAAAGATTTAATATTGTCTAGGTTTGAACTCTATGAAAGATTTGATAATGTCTAGGTTTGAACTCTGAGATAAAAAGATTTAATATTGTCTAGGTTTGAACTCTGAGAAAGAAAGTTTTAATATTGTCTAGGTTTGAACTCTGAGAAAGAAAGGTTTAATATTGTCTAGGTTTGAACTCTGAGTTAGAAAGGTTTAATATTGTCTAGGTTTAAACTCTAAGAAAGGTTTAATATTGCCAAGGTTTGAACTCCAAGAAATATTTATTATTGTCTAGGTTTGAACTCTAGAAAGAAAGGTTTAATATTGACAAGGTTTGAACTCTTAGAGAGAAAGGTTAAATATTGTATAGGTTTGAACTCTGAGAGAGAAAGGTTTGATATTGTCTAGGTTTGAACTCTGAGTCAGAAAGGTTTAATATTGTCAAGGTTTGAACTCTAAAAAAGGTTTAGTATTGTCAAGGTTTGAACTCTAAGAAAGGTTTAATATTGTCTAGGTTTGAATTCTAAGAAGGTTTACTATTGTCTAGGTTTGAATTCTAAGAAAGGTTTATTATTGTCAAGGTTTGAACTCTAAGAAAAGTTTAATATTGTCTAGCTTTCAACTCTAAGAAAGGTTTATGTTTGTCAATGTTTGAACTCTAAGAAAGGTTTAATATTGTCTAGGTTTGAACTCTGAGAAAGGTTTAATATTGTCTAGGTTTGAACTCTAAGAAAGGTTTAATATTGTCTAGGTTTGAACTCTGAGATAGAAAGGTTTGATATTGTCTAGGTTTGAACTCTGAAATAGAAAGGTTTGATATTGTCTAGATTTGAACTTTAAGAAAGGTTTAATATTGTCTAGGTTTGAACTCTAAGAAAGGTTTAATATTGTCTGGCTTTGAACTCTATGAAAGGTTTAATATTGTCTAGGTTTGAACTCTGAGAGAGAAAGGTTTGATATTGTTTAGGTTTGAACTCTAAGAAAGGTTTAATATTGTCTAGGTTTGAACTCTGAGATAGAAAGGTTTAATATTGTCTAGGTTTGAACTCTAAGAAAGGTTTAATATTGTCTAGGTTTGAACTCTGAGATAGAAAGGTTTGATATTGTC